CTAAACCTCTAAACCTCTAAACCTCTTTGGAAAAAATGGGAATGCAGTGGCCATGATTTAGCGAAAGGGGGGGGGAATTCATGACATGTCACGTGACAATGCCATGATGATACGGATTTGACACCCCTGGCATAGGACAAGCATGGTGCAGTTTTCAAGGAGCTGGGCTGTCACCAAGGAGCCAACCCTCATCCACAGAAGTTCACTGGGGGACTTTGGGAAACTCTCACCCCACCCTCTCTCAGCCCAGCCTAAGTCACAAGATTTGGAGAGGATAGAAAACGGGAACACAACGTAGGGTTCTTTTAGCTCCTAAGGCTAAGCCAAATAAATAAAATCAGATAATAAAGTAGCACTCTGAGAAAAGAAAACTGTTGGACATCATGTACTTATGAACGGAACATGTACCAGAATATTATGCTGCAATTATGGCTAAATGACTTTTTAAACAAGCTATTTTTAAAAAAGTAACTTCCAAAAATAAGGTTGCCAGTTCCGTAACAGTGGCTTTTACAGCAGTTTCAGAAGCCATATCTTTTCAAAGAACTTCTTTGCCATGTAGGCGAGATTTTAGACACTTTTCCAATAAACAATGTTAAAACAACCACATAAAAGTATAGCACTAGTTCAGTTCTAGTTTCAATTCTCAAGAATATTTTTGTACTAAAAATACTAAGACGTATGGAGGTAGAATCTATAGATTCTACTTCCACACTTTTTAGTATTTTTAAGCAATATTATATGCTAAGTTATGGATAATTTTTTTATATATTTTAAAGTGGCTACAAAAATATTCCTGAGAATAGGAGAGGAGGAGCCAATGTCACGACGATATGGACGTGCGGTTGCGATGCTCCGAGACTGCAGCCAATACTTTTGCCGCTGGGTGGTCCAATCGTACCTAAACCGTCCCAAAGAGACGGTGAACAGGAAGAATATGTCTTGCTGACCTCAAGGACATCGCAAAGTCCCTGAAAGACAGGGGCCTCCCATAGGCAGTTGTATGTCAATAAACAGCTGTGGAGCTGGAACCACATCCGGTGGGGGAGGCTTCCT